GTCTTTTTCTCTCCCGTCCCGAGCAAGGCACGCCAGACACACCCGTGTGCATGGCCGTGAGAGGGTGCACCCATGCTGGTGTAGATGAGTGTCCGTGCACTGGAGCGGCTGGGTGCAGCGCTATATCCCTACCTTCATTTTAAATCGTTTGTTCGTTTGCTTCTGGGCTTTTTTTTTCTTGTTTTGTTTCTTTATTGCGGGGCTGTTTGTGTGTGTTTCTGGGCGTTGCCCACCATTAAACGCTACGTGGCTGCTGGGTGGCGGTGTGTGCGCCGCGGGCAACGGAAAAGCGTGGCTTCTGTTGAGTCCAGCGGTGTGTGCTGCTGTTTCCCTTCTGTACGGTCTCCCCTCCGCCTCTTCTTTGCCGTGCAGATAAGTATACCTGCTTAAGTGACTAAACAGCCTGTGATGATGATGATGCGCCGTTCGCTGGGCGCCCTGCTGGTGCTTGCCGTCTGCTGCTGCTGCTCTCTCGTGACGGCCGAACAGAAAACTTCTGTGGGGAAAGGGTCTGCTGCGCTGGAGTTGCCGCCGGATGTGAAGGAGTTGCTTGGCGGAGCACTGAACACGGCAATGAGGGCGAAGCGTGAGTTCTGTGAGCGTACGCGGCACTGTGTGGAGAAGAAGGACGTGCGGCAAGATGAGCTGGAGACTCGGGGTGTGCTGAAGAGGCTGGACACGGTGGTTGTGGCGTTTATCAACGCACTGAAGGAGGAATGGGGTCGCGACAGGAGGCGGAAGACCGACAGCTCGTCGGCGGAGGCGGCGGCATTGGCCTCTGAGACTGCAAGCCTGAATGCCGCTCGCAATGCGGTGAGGATACTACAATCTGGAGGCGAGGGGGGGTCGACTAACAAGGAGGTGCTGCGTCAGGCAGCTGAGCAGGCTGCGATTGCCCTGGAGGAGGCGCAGAAGTCGCTGCTGTATGCCGAGAAGGTGGCGAGGGAACAGGGCACGTCCGAGGCAACAGAAAGGGCCAAGGCGGTACAGAACGTCGCACGCAACGTTGACATGTCGCTCACGTCGCTGCTGCAGAAGCTGGAGAAGGGCACGTTGAAGGGCTCTGACATGGGGGGAAGAAGGGACGCATTGATGAGCAATGATGCACAGGGTGCCGGCGGCGCTGCCCGGTTCCGGAATGGAAACAGCGTCAATGTCACCAAGAAGCTGCAGGAGCTGGCGTCAGCAGTGGATGGCAGCGTTCCTCCTCGGTTGTGCTTGCCGGTGTGGCTGCTTCTGATGATGGGTGTTGTTGCCTGTGCCGCTGTGTAATGAGGAGTAAAAGCGTTTGAGAGGAAGTGATGAGGTTATCTCCCGTCTTTGCATTTCTTTTTTTTTTACGTTTATGTGCTTTTGAGTTGTGGGCCCAACACCTCCACATTGCGCCGGTGCCCTCGTTGAGGAATGCACGCATGGCACAGTCCCACACATATACATACTGGGGATGTTGGGCACCGCTTCTCTTTCATTTTAAATCGTTTGTTCGTTTGCTTCTGGGCTTTTTTTTTCTTGTTTTGTTTCTTTATTGCGGGGCTGTTTGTGTGTGTTTCTGAGCGTTGCCCACCATTAAACGCTACGTGGCTGCTGGGTGGCGGTGTGTGCGCCGCGGGCAACGGAAAAGCGTGGCTTCTGTTGAGTCCAGCGGTGTGTGCTGCTGTTTCCCTTCTGTACGGTCTCCCCTCCGCCTCTTCTTTGCCGTGCAGATAAGTATACCTGCTTAAGTGACTAAACAGCCTGTGATGATGATGATGCGCCGTTCGCTGGGCGCCCTGCTGGTGCTTGCCGTCTGCTGCTGCTGCTGCTGCTGCTCTCTCGTGACGGCTGCTGTGGCAGAGGTGCCGATGGAAG